CATAAAATATAATCATAACAATTATGAAGTATATAGTAAACATTTCTGGTATTAGTTTAAAATGGTATGAATATTTTAAATTTTACTTATATTTTAATCTGTCCACACTCAAATTTATAGAATGGTCAGGTTATGTATGAAATCCATTAAGCATCAAAAAACACAGGTGCCATCTTTTTTATGGAGAATACAGAAACAAGCTTCCAACAATACAAAGAATGTTTAGTGAGCTTTGAAGTCAGACATGGACTCTCGCCCTGGCACTTAGATTAGACTTTGAACAAGCTACTTAATGTCTCTAGCCTTAATTTCCTCGTGTTAAAATTGAGATAACAGCAGCACTTACCCTCATAGAGATAAAAACATGAGCCACCAATCTGTGGAAGACAAGAATAAATGTTTCAAAAAATTAAAAATGTAATACTTACCTTATCAAGTTTTAGTTCCAATTCTGCCACATCACCTTCTACTTCTTCTAAAGCAGCCCTAGAAAAATTAAATAAAAAGTTATTTCGTTTGTCCAAATGTACACTTTACTCTTCAAAAATTATACACATGAATGCTTAAAAATTACACTTCACATAAAGTAATAATTACCTTAGAATGAAGTATAAATACTTCATAATCATGCAATGCAATCCATAATACAATTATTATTTAGGACAATGAGAGAACACATTCGGTTGATTTACTCAAAGAATTAACATTATTCAAATTAATAACATTAATTAGAACTATTTGGCATGTATTTTTTAAATGAATAAGAAATTTAAAAAGAGTCTTACAGAGAGTCAGATTTCTAGACAACAAAGCATATGCAACCAAACTGCAAAGCATTGTTCCCAACCAAAAGGAAGGATTTTGACTTTCAGGAACTAGCTCAGAAAGATATTACTCTTGTCTAATGCATCATTTTGTTTCTAAGGTATTTTTTTAAAAATCAGCACCTGACACTGATAAATTTTAGTCTCACTTCTTCTAACAATACAATTTTAATACAGAAAAATTAGCAAAGGTTAGATTATATAAAAAGCAGAAATTAAACAAGTCAGGTACTCATTGAAAAAAGGGAATGATAAAATTATAAAACTAGTTAGTATTTGCTATCACACTACAGGGTAACATTCCAAAATTGGAAATTTGTCTGAAATAAAACAGCAGCAACTAAAACGTTTTAAGGATAATAAAGTTTTATACTAAAGTAATTCATCTACTTTAAGTCATCTGTGCCATTTGCATATAACTACTTGATAAAGTAGCAATTTTCCAACAGCTATTTTAAGAATTAACCCAAATTTGTTTTGATTGGATAGTAGTCCACGACAAGACACACAAAAAGGTATGTTGAGCACTGAGTAAGATATTTTGAGTTAGACAACACAGCGAGGGGAACGACAGTAAGATAAAAACTCCCACTTCTCCTCT